TAAGTTAAAGCTTGTGGAGCTGTTTAGATTGTCTATATCACCTTGGTTGAAATTTGGTAGTTTATGGTTTTTGAAGATTGATCTATTTCTGTACATTGTCAAATGTTATGTTCATAACATTCCTTATGAACTTTTTAATGGTTGCAGTATCTTTGTACATGGTTTCTTTTAGCTCTTTGAGCATATTTAAAGTTGTGGATTTTAAGTCTTTGTCCAGTAAGTCCACCATCTGCTCTTGCTCAGGGATAGTTCCTATTAATTTTTTCCCTGTGTACGGATCACACTTTCCTGATTTTTTTTGGCATGCCTTGTAATGTTTTGTTTAAAACTAGATGTGGCCATTTTGAATATGTGTCAGCCCTGAAAATCAGGTTCCTCCTCCTCACCAAGGTTTCTGCTTGTCATTGTTTGTTTTTGACATTTCTGAAATAATTTTGTAAAGTCTGCAATTTTTGTTATGTATGGCCACTGAAGTCATTGTGCTCTTTAGCTTAATTATCAGCTAGAGATTTTTTCTTTCTTTTTCAACAGATTTCTTTAAATACATGGAGCCAAAAGAAAAAAAAAAATGCCCTGGCCAGTTTGGCTCAGCATTTAGAGCGTTGGCCCACTGTCCAGAGAGACCCAGGTTTGGTTCCCGATAAGGGCAGGTACCTCAGTTGCAGTTTGTCCCCAGCCCCAGTTGGGATTGTGAGGGTGGCAGCCAGTTGATGTGTCTCTCTCGTGTTAATGTTTCTTTCTCTCTTCCTCCCTCTCTCCTTCCTGCTCTGTCTGAAGACGAATGCAAAAATGTCCTAGGGGGAGGATAAAAAAAAATACACTTCCTAGTCTTTGCAGAAGGGCTCTTTGTTTTGGGACACACCTTCAACACTCAATCAGGCAGTTTTCAAGTCCACCTAATGGAAGTTTTCAACTGAAGCTTTAGATTTCTCTAGTGATACCTTGTGTTATGGTGTGGGCTAATTCTGGAGTATTACATTATTTTAAACAATATCAGAGAATTTTTCTACATAACTGCTTCCTGTCAGGCTTTGGGCCTTTCTGCTTGACTTTGGGTTTTTCTTTTGTGCTGCTTCCCAGAGAGAGTCTCTGTATCTCCTTCTTCTTGCTAGTGAGGTGGTTGCAGCAGGTGGGAGAACAGGTGCATTCTCTGATGTTCTTACTAAGCCAGATTCTCAGGGTAGGGTCTTCACAGGAGTGTTTTTTAACTTTTTTTTCTTTATTGATTTTTTTGTTTAGAGAGAGAGGAGGGAGAGGGATAGAGAGATAGAAACATTTATGAGAGAGAACATCAGTTGGCCACCTCCTGCATGCCCCCCACTGGGGATTTGGCCCACAAACTGGGCATGTGCCCTGACTGGGAATCGAACCGGTGACCTCTTGGTGCATGGGTCGACACTCAACCACTGAGCCACAACGGCCAGGCTTCACAAGTTTTGATCCCTCCTTCATATTTTTTTGTTTGTGTGTTTGTTTTTTTTTTTTTTATCCTCACTCGAGGATATTTTTCCATTTTTTGTACAGATAGAGTGGGAGGGAGAGAGAGGAAGGGAGAGACAGACAGAAACATCGACGTGAAGGGACACATCGAGTGGCTGCCACCCGCACGACCAACCAGGGCCGGGGACAAACTGCAACCGAAGTATGTGCCCTTAGCGGGAACCGAACCTGGGTCTCTCCAGACCGCAGGCCAAGGCTCTAACCGCTGAGCCAAACTGGCCAGGGCCCTCCTTCATATTTAATGCTCAACCTAGCATGTATTCCTGCCCCTCCTAGAGCTGTTTTATTTTCCTAGTCTTCTACTAGCTCCAGTGGGTTTCCATGGGTGCTGTCATGCTGTAGTTTTTATTGCCCTTCTCCCTGTAGATTAGGCTTTTGTTCTTTAGGAGAGATAAGGAAGACAGGTCTATCTAGGTAGAGTTTTCAGTGGTGGCTGTTGGTTCCTTTTCCCTGTGTCAGAGGGTTTCCACTAGTGTCTTTAGCTATAGTTTTTATTGTCCTTTCTCCTGCAGAATAAGGTTTTTAGTCTGGAGGGGAAAAAGGGAAGATGGCTTATAATTGCTCTTCTCCCCAGTCACTACCACTAGAAAAAAGCTTTCTCAAGGTTTTCCCCATCCTTCCCTATAATATAAGTATCTGATGGGTTTCCTGGGAAAAAAAGCCTGGTAGAAGATATAAACCTCCTTATTTCTGGGGCCCCCAGGGGATTCACAGTCTTACACTAGCCCACATTCTTCCTTGAGCAATTTATTAAGTTCTTTTAGTTGAGGTTTCTTTATCAGTGCTCAGTGGCTTATGTCCCAGGTAAACAAGTGCTGTGGTTCTGTTCTCCCTGCAGGCACCTGTATCTATCCAGATTTTGGATGACTTGTTTGATCTGAGACTTTTTATTTTTTTTATTTTTTTTATTTTTTTTCAAATCTTTATTGTTGGATGTAAAATGTATTACAGATGTTCCACATTTTCCCCCCATTGACCCCCTCCTCCCCACTCCCGCCCCCTTCCCATCTTTTCCCACACTATTGTCTGTGTCCATTGGTTATGCATATAAGTTCTTTGGTTTATTTCTTCCCACCCCTCCAACCCCTTTCCCTTTGAGGTTTGTCAGTCTAGCAATGAATTTGTGCTTCTTAATCCCTTCACCTTTTTCACCCATTCCCCCAACCCCCCTCCCATCTGGCAACCAACAAAAAGTTCTCTGTATCTATGAGAATGTTTCTGTTCTACCTGTTCATATTGTTTGTAGATTCCATTGTTGATAGATATGTATTCATTGCCATTTTGTTTGTTCATACATTTTATCTTTTTCTTCAAAAAGACCCTTCATCGTTTCATATAATAATGGTTTGGTAGTGATGAACTCCTTTAACTTTTTCTTGTCTGGGAAAGTTTTTATATGTCCATCGATTCTAAATGACAGCTTTGCAGGATAGAGTAATTTTGGTTGTAAGTTCTTGGTTTTCATCACTCTGAATATTTCTTGCCACTCCCTTCTGGCCTGCAAAGTTTCTTTTGAGAAATCAGCTGACAGCCTAGTGGGAACTCCCTTGTAGGTAACTAGCTGCCTTTCTCTTGCTGCTTTTAAGATTCTCTCTTTGTCTTGAACCTTTTGCATTTTGATGATGATGTGTCTTGGTGTGGGCCTCTTGGGGTTCATCTTGTTTGGGACTCTCTGTGCTTCCTGGACTTGTATGTCTGTTTCCTTCACCAAGTTAGGAAAGTTTTCTGCCATTATTGTTTCAAACAGGTTTTCGATTTCTTGTTCTCTCTCTTCTCCTTCTGGCACACCCAAGATGCGATTGTTGGCACGCTTGAAGTTGTCTCAGAGGCTCCTTACACTATCCTCATTTTTTTGGATTCTTTTTTCTTTTTGCTGTTCTGATTGGGCATTTTTTGCTTCCTTATATTCCAAATCGATGGTTTGCTCCTTGGATTTACATACTCTATTATTGAAGCTGTGTAAATTATTCTTTATTTCAGTTAATGCCTCCTTCAATTCTAACTGTGCATCCATGATTTCTAACTGGTCCTTTTTTATGCTCTTGAGGCCCTCACTAAGTTCACTGAGGTTCTCACTAAGTTCATTGAGCATCCTTATAAGCAGTGTTTTGAACTCAGCATCTGTTAGGTTGCTTATCTTCCTTTCGCTTAGTTCTTTTCTTGGGGTTTTGTTCTGTTCTTTCATTTGGGACCTGTTTCTTTGTATCCTCATTTTGGCTGCCTCCCTGTGTTTGTTTTCAGAGGTATGGGGCTATCTGACACCAGATGCTGCTCGTTTGAAAGAATTTAGGAAAAACCTGAAGCAGGATCCAAGACCGGCCAAGCCTATGGTTAAGCAAGTGGCAACAGCTTGGGTGGGCTTGAAAGTTGTGTGGGGTGGGGCGGGGCCTCAGGGAGTCAGCAGGGCGGGGCTACCAGTGTGAGCCAGGTTGCTGGAATCCCAGATTATGGAGACTGTCTGCCGCCTGCGGGAAGGGCTCACCAAAGGAACAAAGGCCTCTTACAGCACGTTTGTCCCCGAGAAAGCCCCCTCTCCAGCCCTCGCTCCAGTGCCAAACAGCTCAGTTCTTCCCTGTATGTCTCTGGCGCCCCTCGAGCTGCCTCCCCTCCAAGCTTAGAGGGAGAGAGTCCGATAAGTCCGTGCGCGGGCCCTTTAAGGAGCTGCCTGGGGCTCCAGCCCCTTCAGCCTCCCTGAGCCTCAGTTTCCGCTGGTTTTTCCAGCCAGAAGTGATGGGGATTCTCTTCCTGGCACTGGAACCCTGAGCGGGGCACCTGGTGTGGGACGGGGACCCCTCAGTCCTCAGGAAGGACCTTCCCAGCTGCGGGAGACTCCTGATTTTATCCGCCACACGTGGGTGTGCGACCAGCCCATCGCGCCGCTGCCGCTGCCGCCACCGCCCCTCGCGCTGCTGCCCCTCCTACCAGTCTGGATGTGGATGCTGATTTAATTCCGTAGTTGCAGGACTTCCGTTCGGCTTGATTTCAGGCAGTTTTGAATAATGGTTGTTCTGTAGTTTAGTTGTAACTTTGATGTGGTTGTGGGAGGACGCGATACCGCGTTTACCTACGCCACCATCTTGACCGGAAGTCCTGATCTGAGACTTTTATTTATTTATTTATTTATCCATCCATGCATACTCACCCGAGGACATTCCTCCATTTTTTGTTCAGATAGAGTGGGAGGGAGGGAGAGAGAGAGAGAAACATCGACTGGTTGTCACCCACACGACCCCAACTGAGGCTGGGAATGAACCGCAACCAAGGTATGTGCCCTTGACCGGAATTGAACCTGGCACTCTTTGGCTGGTGTTCTAACTGCTGAACCAAATCGGCCTGGGCCTGAGACTTCTTTTCTCTGATGGGTTTGTCTATTTAATTTGCAATTTGTCCAGCTTTTTCTTGTTGTAAGGGTGGGGATATGTTCTTTTTATCTCTATAGAAAGAGCTAAACCTGGAAGATTTAAAGTCCTCATTTTCATAGCATCTTCTTTTTGACTTAGGAAGCAGAAATTCAATATGAAGAGCAGATTGGTAAAATTATTGTGGAGACACAAGAACTTAAATGGCAAAATGTGAGTATTTTTTCTCAGATTAATATTCTTAGCATCTATTTAAAAATGTATTCTAATCTTTAATTGCAAAGTTAATTTTTAAATTTCCTAAACATACTCAGAGTATTGTGTATCTTTTGAAACAAATTCTCAAGAAAATTCCCTCTTTAGCTGTTAACATTTGTGCTTCCAGAAAACTGAGAAAAATTTTTATTCAGGCTTTATGATAAGAAAATAAGAATAGCCCTGGCTGGTTTGGCTCAGCGGTTAGAGCATCCGCCTGCGGTCCGGAGAGACCCGGGTTTGGTTCCCGCTAAGGGCATGAACCTCGGTTGCAGTTTGTCCCCGGCCCTGGTTGGTCGTGCGGGTGGCAGCCACTCGATGTGTCCCTTTCACATCGATGTTTCCCTCTCTCTCTCTCTTCCTCTCTCTCCCTCCCACTGTATCTGTGCAAAAAATGGTAAAATGTCCTCTGGTGAGGAAAAAGAAAATAAGAATAATAGTGTAATGCTGGAAACTGTGAACTATTTCATATCTGAGAAATATATTGTGTGTTATAGAGGAGTCAAAATATTTTTTTAAGAAGTAAAACCTCAGAACTGTACGTGTTCCTAGGTTGTTGTTACATATTGTAACCAAATATTTAAAAAAATCAGATCTGATTTCCTCTCCAGCCTTATCTATATAAAAGCATTTTTATAGTGCTTGACATGTCTTGCCATGAAAGTAATCTTAACAGCTAAATACTGAAAAATTGACAATGATGGCCTTTCTATTTGGCAATATTGAAACAGGTACAGAAGGTGACGTAGGAATCAGAATTCAAGTGGCAGAGGATGATTATTAAAAATTAGCTATGAGAATTAATGTATTTTAAAGTAATTGCTAACTTCTGGAAAAATAAATGTTATATGAGAATAGAAATGTAGTTGTGGTATACTATATGGCTCTGCATTGAATAAGAATTGCATAGTCATAAGAGTAAAAATACTGTTGATTTAAGCCACAATTTTTATATAACTCTGTTGGAAGTATAGAGGGAGGAGATGTAGGTTAATGGCTGTACAAGAAAGCTAAACTCCTAACTATCATAATAGATTCATAGATAAAATTTTAAATTGTTAAATCAACATAAATTTAGAAACATGGGGTCAAGTAACAGTAACATTTGAAAGTGGTTGCTACTTTTAGGCCTAATTTTTTACCAAAGAGTATTATTTGATAAAAATAGAAGAAAAATGTAAAGTTATCTTGAATTGGAAGTATAGAACACACAACTTCTACCAGAAAAAGAGGTGAGGGAAAAAAAAAGAAATGGAATCGTATATGCAGATAAAAAAAAAAAAGACCTGTGGTAGAGTAAAATCTCTGACATTTCTCTTAGCAGTATTTTTTCTGATATATCTCCTTGGGTAAGGGAAACAAAAGAAAAAAATAAACAGATAGGACTACATCAAACTAAAAGTTTTTGCACAGCAAAGGAAACCAAAATGAAAAGATAATCTACTGAATGGGAGATATGCCAATGGTACATTAGATAAGGCATTAATACCCAAAATTTATAAAAAACTTACACCATGAAAACAAACAATCCATTTAAAAAATGGGCAAAGGACCTGAAGAGACACTTTTCCAACGACAACATGCAGGTGGCCTGTAGACATACAAAAAAGTGCTCAACGTCATTAATTATCAGAGAGATGCAAATTAAAACTATAATGAGGTATCTTCTCACATCTGCCAGAATAGCTACCATCAATAAATCAACAAACAGCAGATGTTGGAGAGGATGTGGAGAAAAGGAAACCTTAGTATACTGTGGAAAGCAGTATGGAGGATCCTCAAAAAATTAAAAATAGAATTACTTTATGATCTAGTGATTCCACTTCTGAGTATGTATCCAAAGAAAGCCAAAATACTAAGTCAAAAAAATATATGCACCCTTATGTTCATTGAAGCATTATTTACTATTACCAGGCTGTGGAAGCAACCCAAGTGCCCATCAGTAGACGAATAGATTAAAAAAGTGGTGGTACATATGTACAGTGGAATACTGCTCGGCCATAAAGAAAAAAGGATGAAATTTTAACATTTGTGGCAGCATGAAGGTATCTAGAGAGTATTTTGCTAAATGAAATAAGAGAAAGACAGATACCATATAGGTGACTATATGGATCTAAAGAACAGAATAAACAAAAAAACAAAATTGAAACAGACTCATAGATACAGAGAACAGGCTATGGTAGCTGGAGCGGAGGATAGTTGGGGAACGGGGCGGGGAGGGAAGGCGAAATGATTAAACAATACAAAATGGTAGTTACAAAATAGTCATGGGGATGTAAAATACAGCACAGGGAGTATTGTCAATAATGTTGTAATAACTGTGTACAGTGCCAGGTGAGTATTTTGAAATATCAGGGGAAACACTTTGTAAAATACATGATGTTTAACCACTACGCTGTGCACCTGAAAGTAATGTAAAATAATATTGAATGTAAACTGTAATTGAAAAATAAAAAACATTGAAAAATACCCTGTGGTCATTTTGGTTTGGTAAAAATTTATTTCAGTGCTTTTAAAGAATCATATGTTGCTATGTGAACATTTGTGCTTAGATAATAAAATCGTTTTCTTTGGAAACACTAAGACTATAGTCTGCTTGTGTACATGGAGTGTTAATTTTAGTAACTTTTGATGAAACATATTTTCTTGAAGAAAGCTTTGGAGCAAGACATTTTTAGAGTTTATTTAAAAAGCAATGCATTTTATCATAAAGAAGAAACTGGAAGCAAAATTATTGTATGCTGATTTCATGACACTTAAAAAATCATAAAATCGGTTTAAAGTTGCATTTCAAAAGCATGAAATGATATATGCTATAAATAAATATGTTTAACTTTTATTTAAGTAGTGAATCCAATTAAAATTTAAAATGAAAGAGTTGCTAGAATTTATGTTTCAACTTTTCATCATTTTTTAAAAATAGGAAACTCTTCAGAATCAAAAGGAAACTTTAGCAAAGCAACACAAAGAAGCAATGGCAGTTTTTAAAAAGCAGGTAATTTCATAAGGGTAGGCAAACTCTATGGTTTTAAATATAGCATTCACCCCTTTATGAATATTGTAAGTTGTTTTCCATACACACTGAAGACAAAAAAAAGGGTATTATTGAAAGCAGGAAATGAATAAAGTTCTTTTTAATCATAACTGATAATAAAGAGTATAATGTGGTAGATTGAGTTAGTTATGGAGAAAAATTGGGAAAACTGTTTTCTTGGAGATGTGTTTTCATCTGTCCAAAATAAATTAGGTTAGTGATGTGTGTGTGTTTATTTCTTTCTCTCCCTTTTCCCCTTCTTCTGTTTGAGTATCCTAGGATCTTACCTTTTCCATAATACTCCTTTACCTAAGCTAGAATTATAACACTGACGAAAAGCAGAGATGCAAGTAGGGAGATATAAAAGATGAGGGGATGTGATTATCATGCACTGAAGCCTCCATAAATATTAACCATCAGCAACTAAGAAAGACTAGTAGACAAATAGAAAAAAAGGAAAAGATTTTTAAAGAACTGAATAGCAGCCCTGGCCGGTTTTGCTCAGTGGTTAGAACGTCAGCCTGCAGTCCTGAGAGACCCGGGTTCGGTTCCCGCTAAGGGCGCGTATCTCGGTTGCAGTTTGTCCCTGGCCCTGGTCGGTCGTGCGGGTGGCAGCCACTTGATGCATTCCTTTCACATCGATGTTTCTCTCTCTTTCTCTGTTCCTCTCTCTCCCTCCCACTCTACCTGAACAAAAAAATGGGAAAATGTCTTCGGGTGAGGATAAAAAAAAAAAAAAGAATTGAATAGCAGCTCCTTTGTTATTTTGATTTCTATAGATCTTCTTTACAACTTCAAATTTTATTTCAGTCCCTAATTAGAAAATGTAAGTCTAAGAAATGTGCTCAGAGGAAATATCCTCTGGAAGTGTTTTTTCTTCTAGTCTTTCCAACATCACTGTTGTATTTTATCCTTTTCTTTGTCTTCATCTCCATATAGGTGTTTGTACTTAGAAAAACACATGTATAAAAAGAAATAAAGCTATATAATGTAAATCACTAGTGGGTTAAGTGTATTGGTGATTCACACAGTAACTTAGATTTATTTAAGCAAATGATAAACTTTCTTTTTAAAAAAATTTTTTAAATCTTTATTGATGTGATATTACAGAGAGAGAGGAAATGGAGGGAGTGATAGAAACATTGATGAGAGAGAACATCGATTGGCTGCCTCCTGCACGGCCCCCAGTAGGGACTGGGCTCACAGCCTGGGCATGTGTCCTGGCCGGGAATCAAACCGGTGACTTCTTGGTGCATGGGTCAGTGCTCAACCACTGAGCCATACCAGCTGGGCAACTTTCTTTTTTTATCCTCACCCGAAAACATTTTTTTTTTTGTTCAGATAGAGTGGGAGGGAGAGAGAGAGAGAGAGAATCATCGACAAGAAAGGGACACATAGAGTGGTTGCCACCCGCACGACCCAACCAGGGCCGGGACAAACCGCAACTGAGGTACACGCGCTTGGCTGAACCCGGGTCTCTCCCGACTGCAGGCCGTCGCTCTAACTGCTGAGCCAAACTGGCCAGGGCTGGGCAACTTACTTTCTTTTAATCTGAGATTGGCCTCACCACAGTTACGGAAGTTTTAATGGAAGGGTAAGAAAGCAAAAGCCAAATAAATGTAAATGTAGCATATTCACATTATATTAAATTCAAACAATAATCATGTAAAATATATCTATAGTCTCACTGACCAGTGTAAATCACTGTTAATAGTTTACTTACCTGTATTTTAATTTTTAAAATTGCTTGTAGTTACAACTGAAGATGTGTGCCTTGGAAGAAGAAAAGGTATTAATTAATTTTTTTTATAATTTAAGGCATAGTTAAATGTATTTAAGTATTAATTGTTCCCCCAAAATGGAAAGGAGCATTAGTAATAAACTAATGGAGACTGTTACCTGATCACTGTTATTTTACAATTGAGAATACTGAGACCTAAGAAAATTAAATGACTTGCTGAAGTCTCATTTTGAAGTGGCAAAGTTGGGACTAGGACCCAGATCTCCTCACCCCCCAAATTAATGCTCTTTCCTCTCTACTGCAATTAAGTATAATATATTTTTAGTGCTTTTTAAATGTAATTGCCTTCTTTAAAAAAACATTAAAGTGATTGGTGTTTGGATATTGACCAACTGGAAAAAAGGACTCCAAACAATCCTAGAAATTCATCTGGCATTAAATATTTTCTCTAGCTATCTAATAGTTAGTAAATATTTTGAGTATATCAATGAACACATAATTTATAATAATTGATAATTTATAGTTTATTTTTAGTAAAAGACCTTTTAAAAATTTTTCTATATTCTTAAATTTGTAAGACAAATATACTTGTATCTTATTAATTAGAATATATTTATTCTAGCTATATGAATTAAATACTTAATTATACAATATTTGTAAGTTCTTAGAATGCTCTGATAAAATGAGGTTATCATGAGATTTTTCCATTTCATGATATGTATAATTTTATAAAGGACAAACTATTTTGCAATAGTTTGAAATCATTAGAAATTTAAGTTGTAGTGATGATACAAGTGTAAAGCCTATGAAGTATTATATTTAAAGTAGATATTTTGGTTCTTGAGCTCTTATATTTCACTATTAATAATATCATTCACACTGGAAAGTACTTAAATAATAGTTTTTTACTTAAAGGGAAAATATCAACTTGCTACAGAAATAAAAGAAAAAGAAATAGAAGGATTGAAGGAAACATTAAAAGCATTACAGGTAAAGTAATAAGTATTGCTTAAAAAATAATTTGGCACTTTAGCATTGTATCAGTAAAACATCATGAAACATGTAAACTAGCAAAGCAAAGCTAATAAAAAATTCACCTATGATATATTATATAATTTAGTACTTTTCCCCTGAGAGTCTTGAATTTCAAATTAGAAGGATTTTTATTTTTAAAAGAAATATTAAAATAACTTTCAATATATAGTAACATAATTAGTTATATATTGTTTTTGATACTTTATAGATGAGGAAAACAAGTCAGGTCTGTATATTATGACAGATTCACCCATGGTTCTTAACATTTAAAATAACATTAATTGAATCATTATCATTTGCTAAGTAATGTACTTATTTTCTGTAAATACAAAGATGATGAAAATATCACATTTGCCTTTAAGTCGTTCACAGACTCATAGAGAATATGGAGGTGTACAGCTAATGATTATTATTTAATATATATCTATTGAAGGTCTACTGTGTGCCAAGTACTGTTCTAAGCACTGGGGATACAGCAACAATAAAAAGGACAAAAATCTCTGCCCTCGTGAGTTTACATTCTAACAGGGAAGACAGACATTAAAATGAGATTAAAAAGTAAAATAAAGATTGTTGGGAGAGCCCTGGCCAGTTTGGCTCAGCGGTTAGAGCGTCGGCCTGCGGTCCGGAGAGACCCGGGTTCGGTTCCCGCTAAGGGCACGTACTTCGGTTGCAGTTTGTCCCCGGCCTTGGTTGGTCGTGAGGGTGGCAGCCACTCGATGTGTCCCTTCACGTCGATGTTTCTCTCTCTCTCTCTCCCTTCCTCTCTCTCCCTCCCACTCTATCTGTACAAAAAAATGGAAATAATATCCTCGGGTGAGGATTAAAAAAAAAAAAAAAGATTGTTGGGAGAGAAGATATTCACATGATTTCAGAGTATCATCCTATAGATAACATTAACTACAGAGAGAAAAATATATTTTTACAATGGAAGGGTCCGGATGGTCACTACTTTAATCAGGTAATTTATACTGTAGTGTGGACGTGTTTAAGCAGATGATAAACTTTCTTCCGTTAGTATGATTAAGGTAGTACAAGGGTTCCCTTTTCTTCACATCCTCATGAACACTTATCTTTTTTATCATAGCCATCCTAATAGGTGTGAGGTGATACCTCATTGTGGGTTTGATTTACATTTCCCTGATGATGAGTGATGTTGAGCACATCTTCATATATCTGTTGGCCATTTATGTGTTTTCTTTTGAGAAATGTCTATTCAGGTCCTTAGCCCCCCCCCCCCTTTTTTTTTTGCTGTTGAGTATATGAGTTTCTGATATATTTGGATATTAATTCCTAATAGACACACGGCTTGCAGATGTTTCTTTTATTCCATAGGTTGCCTTTTTGCTCTGTTGATTATTGCCTTTGCTTTGTAGAAGCTTTTTAATTTATATAATCCCTTTTGCCTGTTTTTGCTTTTGTTACCTGTGCTTTTGGTGTTATATTTTTAAAAGTCATTGCCTAGACTAAAGTCAAGAAGCTCTTTTCCCATTTTTTTCTTCTAGTAGTTTTATTGTTTCAGGTCATATGTTTAAGTCTTTAATTCATTTTGCGTTGATTTTTGTAATGATGTAAGAATTTGCATATGGTATGAGATAATGGTCCAGTTTCAGGCTTCTGAATGTAGCTGTCCAAAACCATGTATGGAAGACTGCTCTTTCCTTATTATGTATTCTTGGCACTCTTGAAGATCAATTGGTCGTAGATGCATGGATTTATTTCTGGGCTCTCTTTTCTGTTCCATTGGTCAAGATGTCTATTTTTATGCCATTCTCATGCTGTTTTGATTACTATGGTTTTTAAATATATTTTGAAATCAGCAAGTATGATGCCTGCAGTTTTAGTAATCTTGCTCAAGATTGCTTTGGCTGTTTCGGGTCTTTTGTGGTGCAATATGAATTTTAGGGTTGTTTTTTTCTATTTCTGTAGAGATTGGCCCTGTGATTTTTTTTTTTTTATCCTCACCCAAGGACATTTTTTTCCCCCCATTTTTTGTTCAGATAGAGTGGGAGGGAGAGAGAGAGAAACATCGACGTGAAAGGGACACGTCGAGTGGTTGCCACCCACACGACCCAACCAGGGCCAGGGACAAACTGCAACTGAGGTACATGCCCTTAGCGGCAACCAAACCCAGGTCTCTCAGGACCACAGGCCAATGCTCTAACCGCTGAGCCAAACCGGCCAGGGTGGCCCTGTGATTTTTATAGGGATAGCATTGAATCTGTAGATCACTTCAAATAATATGGACATTTTAATTTTTTTATCCTCACCCGAGGACATTTTTCTATTTTTTGTTCAGATAGAATGGGAGGGAGAGAGAGGAAGAGAGAGAGAGAGAGAAACATTGACGTGAAAGAGACACATCGAGTGGCTGCCACCTGCACAACCAACCAGGGCGGGGACAAACTGCAACCGAGGTACCTGCCCTTAGCGGGAATCGAACCTGGCTCTCTCTGGACCACAGACCAACACTCTAACCACTGAGCCAAACCGGCCAGGGCAATATGGACATTTTAACAATACTTTTTTATCCATGAACATAGGATATCTTTCCATTTATCTGTGTCTTCAAATTTCCTTTATCAATGTTTCATAATACTTAGTGTACAATTCTTTTACCACTTTGGTTAAATTTATTCCTAAATGTTATTTATTTTATTGCCATTGTGAATTCTATTTTTGTTTTAAATATCTTTTTTGGTTCATTTGTTTTTTGTTTTGTTTTTTTGTATATGGAAACATTGATGTGAGAGAGAAAAACATGGATCAGCTATCTCCTGCACACCCCCTACTGGGGATTGAGCCCACAACCCAGGCATGTGCTCTGACCAGGAATTGAACCAGGACCTTTCAGTCCATGGGACGATGCTCAATCCACTGAGCCATACCAGCCAGACTCTTTTAATCTTTTAAAATGATTTTTATCTCTTGATTGAACTTCTCATTTTGTCTTTCTTATTTCTTTGAGTTTTCTATCTGTGTTCTCTTGTAGTTTGTTGAGCTTCTTTAAAACAATTATTTTGAATTCTTTGTCAAGTAGTTCACAGATCTCATTTTTTGAGGGGACACTTACTGGAAATTTATAATGTTGCTTTGTTGGTTTCATGTTTTCTTGATTTTTTCATGTTCCTTGTAGCCTTGTGTTGGTGTTTGTGCATTTGAAGAAGCAGTGATCTCTTCCAGAGTTTTCAGACTAGCTTCAGTGGGTATAGATCTTCACTTACTGATGAGTGTGGCAGCACCAGGTATGGTGCTGGGTCTGGCAGCTCTGGCTCACTAAAGGGAGCATGGTTCCTATGGCCCCAAGGAGGGCCACTATGGCATGGGCTCCAGGCAACTCTGTCACTTGGGGTCAATGTAGGCCTTTTCCTTGGCAATGAAGTCTGCTGGTGTTCTAGGTGGCGGTGAGTTCTGCTAAGGTCCTCAGTAGTGAAGACTGTTGTTGTCCTTCTGCTCTCTTTTTCCCCCACTGGGGAGGAGTGTGACTGAGGTTATTCCTTTTGGTGTCAAGCTGCCTTAGCCTATAAGGTGGAACAACATGGGTAAAATACATTCTGCACTCTTCTATTTGGCCATTCCTGTGGGGTTTTTGTGTGTGTGTTCTACTGAGTTGCTGTAGCTTCTTTTTGATACAAGAGTATCAGATATAACCTCCTTTTTTTATTAAAGATTTTTTAAAATTGATTTTTAGAGAGGAAGAGGGAGAGAGAGTGAAACATCGATGTGAGAGTGAAACATCTATTGGCTGCCTCCCGCATCCCTCATACCAGACATCGAGCCCACGACCCAGGCATGTGCCCTGACCTAGAATCAAACCGGCAACCTTTTGGTGCATGAGATGACAATCAATCAACTGAACTACACAGGCCAGGGTTGTAGCTGCTGCTTCTTCTTCTTCTTTTTAATTATTTTTTTCCTTTATTGATTTGAGAGAGAAAGGAAGGGAGCGGGAGAGATAGAAACATCGATGAGAGGGGGCATCGATTGCCTCCTGCATGCCCCTCACTGGGGATTTGGCCCACAACCCGGGCATGTGTCCCAACCGGGAATCGAACTGGCAACCTCTTGGTGCATGAGTCGATGCTTAGCCACTGAGCCACACCAGCCGGACAGGGCTGTAGCTTCTTTTTTTTCATCCTATCCTGAGGACATTTTTGCATTTCTCTTCAGATAGACCAGGAGGGAAAGAAGGAGGGAGAGAGAGAAAGAAATATCAATGTGAGAGAGACACATTGACTGGTTGCCACCCACACGATCCCAACTGGGGCCAGGGACAAACTGCACCCAAGGTATGTGCCCTTAGCGGTGACTGAACCCAGGACACTGGTCCGTGGGCCGATGCTCTAACCGCTGAGCCAGACCTGCCAGGGCTTCTTAATTGTACTACAGAGTTCTTCCAGAGCTATATTTTCATTCATAGGTAGTTGTTAAAGTATGTGTGTGTGTGTGCGTGTGTGTATGCATGTGTACGTGCGTAAGGGCTGGGACCTACTAGTCTGCCATCTTGCTGTCCCTCGTATAAATTCTTTATATTTCTCACAAATAAGTTCTTGCTGTGTGTGTTCTGAGCTTCATATAGTTTCTTTAGTTTGTCATTTTTTTTGTTTTGGATTTTTCTTTAATTTTTGCTATGAATTATTTTTAATGGCTTTTACGATTTGTAGGCTTTCACCACTCCAAACTTATAAAGGGATTTGCCCATGTTTTCTTTTATTACTTCCTATGTACTAAAATTTTACATTATATCTTTGATGACTTGAAGTTTGTTTATTTATTTTTATTTTTATTTTTTTTATCCTCACCCGAGGATATTTTTCCATTTTTTGTACAGATAGAGTGGGAGGGAGAGAGAGGAAGTGAGAGAGAGAGAGAGAGAGAGAGAGAGAGAGAGAGAAACATCGATGTGAAAGGGACACATCGAGTGGCTGCCACCCGCACGACCAACCAGGGCCGGG